GTTGAGATTGTGCTAGTGCATCCTGCGCCCTGATTAATTGCTCATCTTCGTCTACGGTGGCTCCCGGACTCCCGTACACACTGGTTGTGGTGGCGATGTTTGTCCCTGAGAGGAGTAAGGTAGCACACATCTGCATATTGGGGGTGCGGACTTCTACGTCCCATTTCCTGTGGTGAGTTTCTTTGCGAATGAGTAGCGCTACTCCTACATCTTGCAATCGACCCGGTCTATCCTGCCTGTGGATCTTGAAGCTGTTTGCGATGGTCTGTGGTATATGGTCGCTTTCACTTAACTATATTTCACAGACAGCAATCATTGCAGCTTTGAGTTTCTCAGATGTGACTCCTAGCTCTGCCCATTTATTCCGGATGCTGCACGCATTTGCGCAAAGCATAACTAACTTTTCTTGGATTGGGTATTTTGAGCCCCCTACTCTTGCTTTGGTCTCGGACGCAGCGCCCGAGCTGTAACCCTGTTTTTGATGGGTCTGTTTCGTTCATTGTAATGCGCCTTCTAAGTTTGGAGTCCGAAGTTTCTACCATGGACGTCCGCCGCAGTGGTGTAGACGTTTGAGCAAGCATCTGTTCATTCTCACTTACCCACCTGCTCGGCAAGCACGTCTTCCATTCCTCTTCCGCCATTACATTCTCTATAGTCACCACCCCGTTTCTTTAGGGAGTGTTTGTCGGCTACTGCGTACATGTATACTGGCCCTTCCCTTGGGTCCTTTATAGGCTACCGTCCCATGTGGCCTTGGGTTGTCCGGGGCTATGTTGTAGCGCCCCTTTGTGCGTTGACTTACGAGGGATGCTTTTGATAAGAGCATTCCCCTTGGTCCAGCCCCTCCGAACTCCACTAGTATTGGTCGGGTCGCTGGCACTCTGTTTGGGTTGGGCTGCTTCCAAACACCTTTTTATAAGGCATTTTGTATCTAGGCCTACCAGTCGAAGAATGTCAATCACTCGGCGTCGGTTCAGTTCACGCCGGGTTTTAGACTCCCTGATTATTGGTTCCTCTTTATTGAGTAGCAGTAAGGTGTTGCACCTAGACGTTCTATTCGCCCTAATAGCGTTGATCGAGGCTACTTCTGCACGCAATTTGTGCGGTTCACTCTCGATATGGTGCAGGCTGTTGCTCAGAATACCGTGGACTCCCTTGGCGGTGCGCGAATTTTCTGTTTTCGGCTTAGGTTTGACAATCTTAGCATTTGGTTGCATTTGACGAGTTTCTGGAGCTGGTTTACTTGGAGGTGTTTTCTTTACCACCTCGGCATAGGTGTTGGCTGTTACCACTGAAGATGTCACTTCCTTACTCTCCACTCGTTTTGTTTCGGTCAGTCTTGGTGACTTTCCGGCGATAGCAACTTTGGCTTTATGATGGCGTGCAATCGTTTTGCAACCGTTGCCCACCCATTTTAGTCCAATATGTTTACAGTACAATGCGTAGATCTCCGAAGAGTCCCCTGTGCACTTTTGGTGAGCCCATTCTTCACATACGCCACATATAATACCCCTTACCGCCTTTTTACCGCACGCTTCGTTCAACCACAGAAAGTTAGCAAGTGGCATATTTCGAAAAAGATGTGCAATGTAAATAAACTGATAAATATGGGACACCAAATTTACTGTAGAACACAGGTCAGGTCAGGTCAGGTTGCACAGGGCTGAATATGGCCACAGCCAATCGAGCGTCCAGAATTCCTTCGATGGTATGCTCACTACGTGGGCACCCAGCTCCGCTAAAATAAGAATGAGAAATAACACCTTATCTCACCGAGTTGGCGAGTGAACTGTTAGACGTGAGCATTCCATGACGTGCACCAGTAAAAAAGGGAAAAGTGATACTAATCAGTTGGCATTCATTCGTTTACACTGCCAGTGATGGGAATAGTTCCACGCATTGCTTATTGATTGCAGTCCTAAATGCTTGCACTGTTTGGAAGTTGACTATTTCCTTGGGAAGCCGGTTCCAACTGTTGACTATCCTATTGCTGAAAACTTGCTTCCTCATGTTTAGTCGACACCTATGCTTGATGAACTTGAGCTCATGACCTCTAGTGCCGTGTTGGGGAGCTAATGTAAAGAGACTGTCCGCTCCTATCCCCGATATTTCCTTCATGATTTTGAAGGTTTCTATCAGGTGTTCTCGCAGTCTCNAATGCCTCAAGTCTTTCCTCATATGTTTTTCCCCTCTGGCCCTCAACCATTCTGGTGGCCGAATCGTTCTAATTCGGTGAACAGCAGGCAATGATTCAATGAATCAAAAGCCTTGCTGAAATCCAGATAGCAAACCTCTACGGTTTCACCCTCATCTATTTTTGCAGAAAACTCCTCCAAAAAGTACAACAGGTTTGTTAGGTATGAACGTTGCTTAATGAAACTATGCTTTGCCTCTGTCATTATCATCTTACACTCCAGATGCTTTACTAGATGCGNGCGTTTTAACTATCTTTTCTCGTACCCCGCATAGTACGCTAGTTAAACTAACAGGTCGATAGTTCTTAACCTCTGTCTTCTTACCTCCCTTGTGTATGGCTTTTTAACAGGCCGTTTTCCAGTCAGACGGTAATCTCCCTTCAGCTTGTGATTTCCTATAAAGCCTGCACATCGGCCTCGCAATTAAATCAGCAATCGGTTTGATGATCGCTGGACTAATTGTTTCTGGTCCTGTCGTCTTCGAAATCTTAAAAGAACCTAGTACCTCCGGTAATTGCTGGACCGTTACCCGTAGTTCCTCCACTACGTCTGTCCCCAAGGGTTGAGAAGCAGTTGAATCACCAATTTCTAGCCTTCGCACGCTACATAAGTAAGCACAGAGTACATCAGCTTTACTCTGTTTTCAGTTAAAACCCTGTCTCCCTTAATTTCCGGTGGGCCCATCCTTTCTCTGATAGATCCCTTTGACCGGACATACCTGTAGTACCTCTTTGGCTCCAGCTTTAATTTCTGGGACTATTTCATTTAGAATAACCTCTTTTTCTCCCTGATTCGGTTACCCACTGCATTTCGGTGGGTGGTGTACTCAATCAGCGACCTGTGGGTGCCGGCTAGTTGGTAAGCTCGCCAGCTTCGGTTCCGGTAACTAATGGCCCTGGCTACTGCGGCCCGCCACCATGGCGGTTTTCCCTTGTGCCTCCTATATCTTAACGGAGCAAAAAGATCCTGGAAGTTGAGGAGGTCATGTTTGATCAACACCCAACATTCCTCGACGTCTGTGGTATCTCGCTCGGGAACCCACTGTATTTGTGCGGTGTGTTCCGAAAGCCTACTTACGTTACTTCTGCCAAAATCCCTATCCATCCGTGATCTACGTACGAGTGGCTTTGTATGGATATCGACCCCTATGAAGAGGTGATCACTCTTTCCTATCGGTGGATATACAGTGACAATGATTACATCCTGCTCCCCTTTGGAGATCACGAGATTCAGTAGGGACGGTTCCTGCTGAGCTATAAACCTCGTACAGAAGGCAACTGGATGAGTGCCTTTGTGTTTATCCACTCCAACTACCTTTCCGCCTGACTATCTTTGGTGCACCTACCTGCCATCCAAACAATATCGGGTAAGCTAAAGTCACCGACTATATACAGCTTTGCTGATCCTTGAACTAATATATCGAGTGCATCAATCGATGCCCGGTCATTTGTGGTCTCAGCCCCGGAACATCGTTAGACACACGCCATCTTAATTTTGCTATCCGGTAACAGCAGATTTACAGCACATAGCTGGACGCTGTGCAGTTTCACCGAAACTTCGCAAACCATGTGCACAATGCCCTTCCTTATGAGTAAGGCTACTCCTCCTCCTGATGCCAGAGGCAAATCTTTCTAGCAATAAACCTGGTGCCCAGTCGTGGTCCTTAAGCTATGTTTCCGATACAGCTATTACAGCTGCATTCAGGTCAAACGCTGCTGCAAGGAGTTCGATCCACTTATTTCTAATGATGCAGGTGTTGGTTACAATTAACAGACAGCTTCCCATGAATGGGTTACCGGGCTCTCTATTTACTCTATCTTGGGCCTCGAGCACAGCATCCGAGTGTGTAGCAAGCTTTTCGACGTCTTTCTCCCTTCATCCAGCTTACTTCCCCATAGAAACGGTGATTTCAAGTCTACAGGGGTTTCTATCAGGTTAGACATTCTCTTCAAAGGGGTGTTTGCCACAGCCTTGGCTCCAAGGATGACGAGGCTGTTTTTGGCTGTCGTGGTGACGAGACAGCTTTGCCACTCCTCGTCCTCCATAACATCCTCAATCACTACTATTGGTGACACTTTGGCTACGCCGGCCGTTGACGATCGGTTGTCGCTTGTCACCTCGAAATGGCTCGGCAGGTTATGGTGCATTCTTGGTGCTCCAACACCATGCAGTCTAAGAGCCCTAGGCACATCCAGGGTTATCTGGTACCTACTCCGTGTTACGTGAAATATTTTCTCAGAGCTTACCAGTAGTTGATTTCTACTGGATTGTTCGGTGGATTCCACTAAGTGTGGCTTAGTCGCTCGGGGTTCACCATTAGTTGACGTCCTCCTGTGAACCTTCTTGATTATACACCTCTCCATACCAGGTATCCTTAGGATATCTGGCACTCTTCTATTCATGTTCTGGCGGGCTTTCGTTTCCTTCACCAGTGGATCTTCGTTGTTAAGGGTAAAAAGGGTTCTATAAACCCCAGTTGGGCCGCCTATGCTTGCTTTCAGTGACCTAGGTCGATCACTGATCATCCTTTAATTGACCTTCTAAGTCATCAAGGATGTTTTCCTTTACTCCAATGGGTTTACTCGTGCCTTTGCCAAAAGACTCAACCATAGTGGATTTGGCAATGAGTGTCCTGACTACACGCGGCACAGCAGAACTGACTGCTGTCTTCACTTTGTTAGTCACCTTACGACCCCGGATGATAGGGTCAGTATTGGCTTTCGCTGCATCCGCGTACGCTTTTGGACGATTTAGTTTCTTGTTCTTTTTGGCGGGGCTGATAACCGAGACTATCTCTGCAGGTATCCCCTTGGCAACGACCTTAAGCACTGATTCTTTCGCTATGTTTAGGCAAGATTTACATACCCACGGCAACCCTGGGTCTTTGCAGTACAGAGCATATCGTTCTGGTTTTATCCCAGAGCAATTTGCAAGAGCTCATTTCCCACAAACCTCACATTCTATACTTTTTCTACCCGCTTTCCGCAATGCTCACTCAAGCATGAAAAGGCGGCTCTAGGTATCTTACTGTAGGCAGCAAGGTTTAGAGCGAGAGAAAAAGGACCAAAAAATACCTAAAACACATGCGAAATCTGAAATAATGCAAATTTCGGGTACAGAAAAAATTCAAAACGGCTAAAAGATTTTCGAAAACAATAATGAACACCAGAAAACAGTCCAAACACGGTGTAACCACACTTATAGAAGTATAATACCAAAGTAAAACCGTAATACAGTTGGTTTCACACAATAAAACATTCAAAAATTCACGGTTTCACCAGGGAGCAAGATTCACGCAACCGGTTTAAACTCACTGTTGAATTCTTTTGTGGCTGTTGATCGAGTTGTAACAAATGCTTCGGCATCAATTCTTCACGCAATCTTT